TGGTCTTTCTAGAAAGCTTCAACGATCTGTTAGCACACTTTATGGTGCGGTTTACAATAAATAATGTAGCCCTTTTAGAAACAACAAAGGTTTCTCTAAAGTTCCTTTTTTATTTATTTACTTTGACTTTCTTTGGTCACTTAAATTTTTTAACGGCCGTACAGTCGTTTTTCTCCTCTCGAAGAAACAAAACGCTAGTAAAATTTTTGCTCGGTAAAGAAGCAAAGGTTTGTTTCAAGTTTTTGTTAAATGTAAACCTTTTTGTTTACGTTTTGTAAAAGTTTTTAAATATTTAAGTGTAAACCTAAAAACTAAAAATTTTTTATCAGTGTGTTAGAGTGTGAACGTAAAAGTGTAAAGTGTTAATGGTCGTTATCGGTTAATTAACCAAATATGAAGTGATGACATTTATTAACCAAGGTCGACACCACTAATTTTAAATGACGAAGCACTAATTTTTCTATTTCTATAATATTTTTTCTTATTTTTATTGTGAGTCCTACAATGTCTCGAAAGTTCATCTGACCTGGAAAATCTTGTGTCACATCCCCCAATTCATGAGGTCTTTCTCCAGTATGTATTCTATTATGACGGACCAAATGTTCCAATTGATTAAATTTTTTTTTGCATGTACTGCATTTATGTTTGTAAATTATAACACCAGGAGAAGAGAGGTGGCAGGAGGAATTTTTCTTTGTAATAATCTTGTTGTTATTATTACTATCATCGTCCGTATCTAAATATAAACTAGAAACTTCATTATTAACATGGTTTTCTTATATAATCATAATTTGGTGACAACAATTCAGGAGGATTGATGAGATTGGAAATTTTAAATGTTGACATTATTATGATGACTCGTTGATGTAGTGAAAGGTGGTGTAACGTTAAAAATGAGTAAATATATTTTTTTTGATCACGATATTTTTTTTCCAGAAAATTTATTCGTTAAACCGAGAGATCCGTTAAATCGAAACTTATGACCATATGCGAACGATTTCCGGGTAGGTTACACCTTTATCCCTGTGTTCAGAGGGATACAGCTTTAGCCTGGCGAGGGATAAATATAAATACACGGATATATCTCTGATCACCTGGTCCATAGATCTTGAGTGAATTATCCGACCGATACCCAAAGATCGATAAGATTGATAAGGGGGATATCCCTCTTATATGATTTCCCAGGCTGAGGCTTTATTATTATCCCTTGCGGATTATTTTAACGAAAGATATATATATATTAATATTAATATTATTGCCAATCGATTTTGTCACGTGTGACAAATCCAAATGTCTGTATACTATGTTGCACAAACAAACTAATGAATATAATTTTTTAACAAATATTATCAAAAAAAAAAAAAATGTCAAGTGCGATACGTTTAGAGAATGCTGCAAATGAGTTTCGAAAAATCCAACAAGGTATTTTTATTACTGATTGATAAATTTCAAAAGTTTACTTGGTTTTCTAATTTGTTGTAAATATTTAGACTTGTCAAATGTCATAGAAGGAAGACAGCGTTTAGATTCACAATTACGAGAAAATGAAATTGTTCAAAAAGTATATTGATTGAATTGAGTTTAATTATCTTTTTAATTTTCAAAAAGTAAATTAAACTTTTTTATGAGATCTTTAGGAATTTCAACTATTAAAAGAAGATTCAAATATATTTAAACTTATTGGACCAGTATTAGTGAAACAGGATAAAGCTGAAGCTGTTCAAAATGTGAATAAACGATTGGAATATATTCGATCTGAAATGTTTGTAATTAAGAAGAGAATAGATATTTATAATAATAATGATAATAATAATTCATTAGTATTATTATTATATTACTTATGATTAATTAATTGATTATAATATTTCAGAAAACGTATGGAAAAACAAATTGAAGATTTAACACAAAAATCAGAAAAGAAAAAACTTGAAGTTGTTGAACTTCAAAATAATAAATCGTAAAGTTCAAACAAGGTTGATTGTTTATTATGTGAATAATTTAAAACTGAAATTGTAAGATCTGTGCTATTAAAATGTTTCATATATGCTTGAATCCCACTGGTGACAATTAACCTCAAAATTTTGTTAATATGTCAATTATTTGTTTTGATTCTAAATTTTCTAATAGGAAGAATTGATTACCAGAGAACATAGTGACAATCCAATTGATCTCCACAATTCATGTCAGAATCCTGATATTCTTTTAATCCTTCCCAGTTTTTTGTAAAGATGAACATGAAGTTTCTTTCTGTTACAAAATTAAGAGAATAAAGTTTTATTTAATATCATCTAAAAATGTAATATGATAAAGGAATGTCCAATAATGTGGTGACACTGCTATGAGGTGATCTAGGATATGCATCTATTGAATTTCATGAAGCATCCATAACTACAATTATTTTATTTTTTATTAAATATGTTCTGAATAAAATTAATGATCATCCAAAATAATTTGGACCAACTAAATTTCTACTGTTAGATAGAACGTCTCCTATTTTCTGAACTTTCATAGATTTCTTCAACTCTATCTATCTATCTAAACTTAGTGTTAAGTACTTACTAAGATAATTTTTTTCGAAGCTCTACTGTGATGATTTGATTTTGTGTAACTTTGTATTGCTATGGAAATTCAAATAATAATTATAATTCCATCTTTTTAAAAATTATTGGCAAAGTAATCATTAAACTTTCCCGAGATTATTTTTCATATAATATCACAATCATATCGATAATAATCCATGATGCTATTGTCATTATTATCCTCATCAAATTAGGCACATCATGCTGTTACGCCTAATTATATTAGAATTTTACACATTTTGGTGCAAGTGACAAAGATTTTTATGGGGTTGTTCTTCTACAGCAAGAAGATATGATGGTACCCCATTTGGTACTGTCATTTGATCAAATCTAAAGTTATTAGCCGTAACCACTTTTTGATTTCTCCAAATTGGAATTGTCCACATTTCTATTTTTTACAATTATAATGTGCGATACATTCAGAGTTTACATACTCTCTCTTTTTAGCTTGACAATGCTGGTCCAGACAAAGAGGTGCTTACATTTTGGTTTTTCTTATATTATGAAATTGCTTTAATTGCTTTCAATTTTTTTAAAGTTAATTATATAAAAATTATTTGGCATTGATGTTTTCAGTGTGCTTTAACATTATTATAATGTTCTATATCAAATGCACTTTTCTGCATATTGAATGCGTACGTGAAAATCGCATTACATCTGTTTTCAAAGCTCGTTTAAATTCATAGGTCACAGCAAATTTATTGAGTTATAATATTAGATATAAAGGATAAGATCTTTTTTATCGGCTGTGTATATCCTTTAACTCCTCCAAAAATAGAAATGCATGAGAAAGAATTAAAGCCAAGACCTTTCTCTACAATTCTATGGTTTTGTTTTGTTTTGATATGTCACGACGTTACCATTGAGGAATTAAGCAATACACGCAATTTTTTATGAAAGCAAAGTTTTAAAGGTAACTTGCATAATTAATAAACAAGTTATCACATGAACTATATATAATATACCGAATAATGTAAACCAGGCGATTGAGCTTATTGAAATTTTGAAAAAATCAAGTGAAAATATTCTATGGTAATGTCGCTGTCACTAATGCTAGCTTTTATGCAATAATGTTCTTGTACGTGTGATGAAATCATATGACTTTGTAGATTCACCTTGTGACTTTTCTCACAAGCTCCATAATTGTAATAATGCAAAAAAAGAAAATTTTACCTTCGTTTTTTTAAAATGAGTAGTAAACACAAGGTGAAACCCTTTGCATATTTTTTTGTAACAAAAAGAGATATACACTTGGTGGGCAAAAGTTTGTGTCCAAAATTTCTTAAAATATCATTAATTTTTACTAAATAATAATAAGGTTAAACAATGTTACGAATTAATTAAACAAAATAAAAATTAAAAGATGTTCGCCAACAGATCTGCATCGAAATCTACCTTCTAGAGTGAACAAGAATGATTATGAATCAGCGTTCCGTCATAATTGTTCTTAATCTAGAAGTTAATCTTTCAAATTCCTCTTCTTTCAGATCATTAAGGATATGGGGAGTTAACTCCTTCACCTTTAAATAAGACAATCCTGATATTTGGAATAGTGTATAAGTTCTTTGTGCTATTCTTATCCATTTATCTCCTTTATTTGGGTTTACTCTTCGGTGCACTTTCTTTCTCCAAGTTGAAGAAGGACTGTCCTTTAGAAGTTCTCCAAGCATATAGTAATACTCAAAAGTAGAACTATATTTCCGAACTTCTAATTTATTCAAAATAATCTTCAACTTCGCATATGGAGTTCCTTCAATTTTGGGTAACTCTACAATCTCATTTCGCAAAGTTCTGAACTCATACAAGTATTCGTCAAATTCTTCTGGTGGTGTTATGAGTAAATCCCATTCTTCTTCCCCTTTCCTCGCCTTGACTCCTTGACTTGTTATAGTTAGTTCATCTACTTCAATCCTCTTTATTATTTCCATTAATGCTTCTTGAATTTCGGTTGTTAAATATTCAGGTAATTCACCCATTTTTAATTAAATAATAAATTTGTTTTCTTCCAAGTAAAAGTTATCGCAATTCCAATTTAGTATTTTGTTATCAACATGCGTTATATATGTTATATATACAATTATTTGTGTTTCCATGTGCCTCTCTTGTATGACTTTAACTGGTTAGCATGTACAAAACTTTAATATTAATAAATGTAACACGAATAAATAAATTAATAATAAAGTAAAATAGAATACGATAAAGACAAACAAAAATAATAAAATTTAAATTATTCCGGAATTAAAGAGGTTTGGCTAATACTGATACTAACAGATCTGCATCGGAAATCTAATTCCGGTAACAACATCAAGGTTTTTATTAATATTAGGGTTTACTATTACAACAAAAGGATTTAAATAGACGTTTTATTTATTCAAATTACTGATCTTTCTATTGGTATTGTTTATGGTTCTTAGCAGTTGTCAAATGATTTGATTTAAATTTATTATTTTCAAAGCGAACGTATGATTTACCAAATGCAAAGAAGTCTTCTATAGCTAACTTCCGAATCTATTTTTTTTTAAGCAATAATAATAAACAATATCTCTTAAATTACAATTAATAATTTTTTTTGATACAGATAACGACAAAAAAAAAAATGGAAGCCATGATGATGATTTTAGCTGTTTTTTTTTTTTTTTTGATATTCTTCTTTATTTTATTTTATTTATTTTGGTTTTGAGTAAAAATAATTTCTCAAAGACTTTAATGATGAGCATAATAATTCAATTAGTCATTTTAGAATAAATTGGTCTAGCCAGTATGAACGAACATGAATATTTTATAACGAGCATGAATAACTATTGTCAATAGCTATAAGCTAAGCCAACCAGGTCAAGCTTCCTTTTGATTCACATCTTATAAATAAACTTCTATTCATTTAGAAAAAAATTTGCAACGCTTAACGTTAACATTACATATTAATATCAATATCAACATTGACGTTAACGTTAAGTTACACTACGTACACACAACGCAATCATTTTCGTAACCTTTAAAATTCGTTTTTTTCAAAAAATTCCTTCTTTAAACATTAATGTTAATTAAATACGTTGTACTAAATTAAATTCATCATATTTTTTCGTTAATAATATAAATTTTTTTTTATTTGTTCTTAAAACCCTAATATACTAACTAAACTAATAATAGTGTTAATCTTTCATCATTTTCTCTTTTAGGAGTGAATTATATCTTTTTAAATAAATACCATAAGTACTGATATCAATTGTAAATACATCATAGCCATTAGCAGCTACCATAAGATCAGTTAAAGGTATTAAAAAGTGACTCATTACTTTATTATCTACAGGGTTTATGAGACTTTTGTAAGGTTCAAGTTGATCTTCGAAATCAAAGAGCATTTTTAGACAAGGAAATTTATCCAGAAACACTTTCATGGATTCATATTCTCTATTAATATCACTGGCCACATATAAATTTTTTCTCTTTGTGGTTTCATTCTCCTCAATAGGTGGACATTTATTCTTCAAAGATATTAAATATGGTGAAATTTCTGGATATTTTTTATCAATTTGCCCAACTAAATCAGTAAAATGTTCTTTACTTTTTTCTGCAAAAGTGTTGTCACCACCTCTAGCATGAGCTGAAATATAATTACCAGCACCACCCATTTTTTTAACTATACTAGCTACCACATTTAACATTACTGGATTATTTGGTACAAATGATTTTTGGAATCTTTCGGTGAAGGTTCTTGATGATTTCAAATTTTCGTGGATTCTAAGTATTCCATACAAACTACCAAAGTATATAAGTTTTTCAGGACGTTTCTTGAGTAGTTGTAATGATTCTAATGTTATATTAGTATTAACATGTGGTTTTTTGATTGTATCATACATTTCATTAAATTCCTTGGTGGTAAAATCAAGGTAAATTTCTTTTCTTGGTTCAGTGATATTTAACATTTCAACAATTGTATCAGGATCAAAATTTGGTGTATTTATGATTTTGAGGTTTTGTCTGATAAATGTAAAGTCAAATAGTTGATCATATGGATAAAGTGTGTATGAACTATGAAATTCTTTGCATTTCTTTTTTTCTTTGTTTATCTTTATATTTCCACAAATTGAGTCGACGGATTCAGCTTTTAGATATTTTGACCATTTAATCATTCTACCAAGCGGTACTCTAAACTTGGTTAAAAGTAGGGCAGGTGGTACAATCAATGTTCTATTTAGGAACCAAGCAACAAATATCGCATTTTCTAATCCTATTCTTTGATTATGGAATCCACTATGAGGCACAAATGTCATATATTTTTCACTTCCATCATTGTCATTTAAACTGTTGTCATTATAATTAGTTCCATTTATATTATTAACTGTTGTATTATTATAATTATCGATGTTGGTGGAGTTCTTGTTGTTGGTTGGTGATGATGGTGATGATGGTGATGATGGTGATGATGGTGATGATGGTGATGATGGTGATGAGGATATGAATATATTTATTGAAATGAATAAAATAAAAAGTGCAAGAATTATTAATGAAATATATAATTTTTTTGTTTTTTTACTTTTATCAAATAATTGGTTGTTGTTGTCTATGTTGTTATCTATGTTATCAAACTTGGTGTTAATGTCAGTGTCGATGTCACCATCGCAATCTTTTTCGGAATTTAATAGTGGGGTTAATGAGGACATTTTCTTTTCAAAAAAAAAAATGAATGTGTGTTTAAAAAAAGGAAAAAAAAAAAGGAATAAGTTGACTAATTTTTTTTTGACAAAAAATTTTTTTAATATTTATAAAAAACAATTATGTTTGTTTATATTTTGCAGCTTCATGCGGACAATTTCCAGAAGGTCATACAGGTCAAACGTTGTCACAGCGAACCTTGACTGTAATCAAATTCTTGTCATAATGGATTTTAAAATTTTTGCTTCAAGTATAAAAACATATAAAATCCGTTGTGGTGATATTAATATTAGTATTACAATTAGTAATCCCCCCCGCAACGGATTTTTAAAAAAATTTCTTATGTACCGCTATGACGAGGATTGACTGTACTTGTATTATTATCCCTTTATTATTATATTGTAGGGATACAGCAGCTCCAGCTTGGAAAACATATATGGGAGAGGCTTCTTTATGGATCTTGTTGATATTTGAGCTAAAGTTGTATCCCTACGAATATACGGCGCAAATCATCTATAATCAATTAATCGTTTATAGTAACAATTGGTCAGCTTCAAATATTAAAACAAAAAATTTTTTATATCATTTTAAAGATAAGTTTTATTGTCCATGACTCAAGCTTCAAAATTTATCGGCTAGATTTTCTTAAACTAAAAATTTGCAGAGCCTTTGGTATACGCTTAAAGAATTATTGAGTCAAGTTAAAATTCGTATAACAAACAAATTTTTCATTTGTATTATTTATTTCCTTTTTAAAAGCTCTTTAAATTGGTGATCCACCAGTTAAAGAATGCCGATCGGGCAAATTTTTTAATAATGATGGTAATCGATTTTTCGCCCATGCGCTTATTATGTTACATAAAAAAAAATGTGTAAATCTTACAAAGATATGAGTTGTTAAATCTGGAGCGGTCCTGGATTGTGGGTATAAAATTAATATATAAAACAATTAGAATGTGTCCCAAAAGAATACTTTTGCAAAATTTATTCTCATTAATAATATTATTAAACGTAAATTTATTTATTTAATAACACAATGGTTGTTACTGACTTTATTTATTTTACTCTATTTATAATAAAGGGAAATTTATGATATTAATTTAATAGGTTAATAAACCATCTATCACGAGTCAAAAGTGATATTTAAATCAAGAATTATTGAGGCGTGTAAAGTTGGTGTCTCCAATTAAGAAATTGCAATTTAGGATGTTTCAACATAGGTTGCAACCGGTTGCAGGATTTCAAATCAGTTGTAGACACCAACTTTAAAGACATGAATGTTAAATCCGGGAGCCCATTTTTCCTGGTAACTTTGTGATTATAATTTGAAACTATTGACTATTTTTTGGTAGGCTTATAAAGCAGTTAAAATATGCATGATCCATAGCTTTGAAAGTTGTATAACCATTAATAAAGCTCTCGCCAAGTTTTTCTTCGTATAAAAAAACCAAAAATCATTTTTCCAATGAAAGATCTGTACGATTTTAAGCCAATTAATATTTGTAATTTTAGAAATTGTAAAATCAGATTTTATGGATGGCGTTCAAATGAAAACAGATATTTTATTGAATTAGTTAACATTATAGTTTGCATATTGACCTTTATTAAAAAACTGTTTAAATTTAAAGCATAAAAAATATTTACTGAAATAATTTATAAATATTTTCCTGGCAAAAGTATTACATGTACCAGTTTTCCTTAGTCGAAACTAATTAACTCATGACAAAGTTATTTTTACAATAGGTCAAATTCGAGTTCTTTATATACATATCAATTAATTATAAGCCCATTTGGGTTCATGAGCCCATATAAACGATAATAATAAGAAAATAAAATGATTTTCAAGTTAATAAATAGAAAAATAAAAATAGAAAATGATAAATATAAAAATAAATAATTAAAAATAAATAATAAATAAAAATTGAATTAGAATTAATTTGACCCAGAATTACGAGATTCGTCCAAAACATCTTCAATTCCGGTAACAATATCTATTTATCTAACCATTTAATTGTTGCACTCACACTTCTCTCATTAAAATATTTTGTTCTTTTATCACTTTTATATAAAATGCCTCCAAAAAGTAGTGTAACTTTATCTGATTCTCAAAAGCATGAATTTTGTTTATTTGCTAACAATAGCAAATTAACTAGAAGGGAATATGCCAATTGGGTTAAACAAAAATGGGGAGTTAGAATAGATGAAACAATCATAACAAGAATTCTGAAAAAAAAAAGAAATACTTAATACTGAAGTTACTAATCCAGATGCCAAAAGACATAAAAATGTAACAGTCCCTGAACTTGAACTAGCCCTCAAAGAATTTATTTTAATCTACCAAAACAGATACATCTTAAGTGAAGCCATTTTAATTGAAAAAGCCAAGCAAATAGCAAGTGGATTGGGAGTTCCAGAAGGAACATTGACATTTTCTCCTGGATGGCTCTATAAATTCAAAAGACATAATGGAGTTAAAGAAAGCTTCATGGAGAGGTATCGTCAGCTGATCTAAATGCAATAACTGAAGCCTTGCCATTGTTAAAAGATAAATGTGCAAGCTATCCACCTGAAAGAATATACAACATGGATGAGACACTTTTTTATAAATTAGAACCAGATTGAACATTAGCTACACAAAGACTTTCTGTACATAAAAAAAAATAAAGAAAGGCTTTCAATTGCTTTGTATGCTAACTCTGATGGATCACACAAATTAAATCCATTAATAATTGAAAAGTATAAAAAACCATGATGGTTTAATAATGTTAACATAAATAACTTACAAATGACATATCATAGTAATTCTAAGGCTTGGATGTTAACAACCATTTTCCAAGACTGGCTTCAGGAATTTGACCAAGAGATTGCTAAGAAACATAGAAATCTACATGCCTTGCTACTTCTTGATAATTGTCCAAGTCATAAGATTGATGGTTTAGTTCTTTCAAATGTTGAGATTCATTTCCTCCCTCCAAATACCACATCAAAAATCCAGTCAATGGATGCTGGAATTATTGTCTTTCAAAAGACATTATCACCATTTACATATCAACTGGATCCTAAGTCAAGTTGAAGAAGGAAAAAATATAAAAGACTTAAAAATGGATGTATTGCAGGCAATACATTATATTATTAAAGGGTGGAGTGAGTCACACCTGAAACCATCCATAACTGCTGGAATCACTCCAAAATTCTTCTTGACAGAGCCAATATTAATTTAACTAACCTCTCTGATAACACCAACAATTCAACAATAGATCAGGCTGTTGCTACTCTTAACCCAAATGATCCAATGTCTGTTGAGGAATTCTTGAATAATCCAGAAGAAGAAATTGTATATGAAATTCCTGAGGATGATAAAATTGCTGAAATAATTGTGGAAATGTATAAGCAGCAGACAGAAGTAGGAAGCAATAATGACGAAGGAGATGAAGAAGATGATAGTGTTGAACAAGTATTAATAAGTACTAGTGAAGCTTCAAAAAGTTTGGAAATTGTCCATGCATTTTTATTACAACAAGAAATGCTAATGAACAAGTAAAATTAGTTAATTCTCTTGAAAAATTTATTAATTTAAAAAAAATAAATACAATGAAACAAACTACAATAGATAGATTCATGTCTTGAAAATTTTTTTTCTTCCTTCTAACAATAAATAATAAATAATAAATAATGAATTAATTCACTGATGATACCCGGTATTCTGTGTTGAATTGATGGAAGGTATTGGGATCATAATTCTGAAAATAGAAGTAATTATAAATTGTTTAATTGGATATTGTTTTGAGGAAGTTATCAAATTGGCAGAAGCTAAATGTCAAGAATTGTTAAATCAGTCAAATTCCTGACATATCATAAGCAGCATCCATGATCACTCTATACAAGTTGGCTACTAAATGAATCAATTCAACAAGCTGCATCATCAAATATTTCATCAACTGAAATTACTCAAAACTTCAGTATGCCAATGATAACAAAAGATGATGATTAAAACATGTTTAGTTTTTATGCCAACACATTTTAATATTATTTATCGGTCCTGTTTACTTTGTCAAAAATCATTTCGTCAACAATCATTTCGTCGAAAGTTTGTTTTGTCGAAAGTTCATTTCGTTGAAAATTATTTCGTCGACAGTTCATTTCATCGGCTTATGTATTGTACTAATGATAAATGAGGTGATGATGGTGATGGCAACAAATATTGACATTGAATATTTTAGCATTGATAATAATTATTGTTTTTTAGTAGAGTGTGTGGATCAGAAAAATTGGTAATATTCCTTTCATGATACATAAATTTGAGTCATTCGTATATTTGCAAACTAATTTGCACTCTGATTTTACCTGAATTTTTCTTTCTTAATTACAATCATACAAATGCAAATTATACTAATAATAAATAAATT